AAAATCTGTGGAGGGAGCTGAAGGTTCGAGTTGCCAAACATCAGCCACAAAACATTAATGACTTGGAGAGGATCTGCAAAGAGGAGTGGGTCAAAATCCCCCCGAGATGTGTGCAAACCTTGTGGCCAACTACAAGAAACGTCTGACCTCTGTGATTGCCAACAAAGGTTTTGCCACCAAGTACTGAAGCACGTTTTGCAAAGGGATCATGAAATTCAATGAAAATGCAAATTACTTTATAACTTTTTTTATAATGTATTTTTCTGGATTTTTTTGTTATTGTTGTGTCTCTCACTGTTCACATAAACCTACCATTGAAACTGTAGACTGATCATTTCTTTGTTAGTGGGCAAACTTACAAAATCAGCTGGGGTTCAAATAATTTTTTCCCTGACTGTATGTAGAGGTCAAATTGACATTATTAGTGTTATAAGACAAATGGCCAAAACAATTTTAAAAAAGACCTCAGTTGTAAAAAAGAAAAAACGGAATCATCATCTACTGTAATATAATGCTAATAAGACAGATAAGTTGCATTCTTTGTGACAGGGGAAACTCTGCTATGTTAAGTAATATACTGTAAGTTGTAAACCATTAAAAATCTTACCCAAATTGACAAAGTGCAGCAGCAAACAAGCAGAGCAGTCACAATAGCACACACTTTAGGAGGTTGATAAATGTTGCTAACTAATGAAATGACCCTTGTATGACCATTCGTTGTACAGTAGCAGCTAAAAACCTACTAAAAAGTTCTTGCCATTTTGTCGACCCAGTAAGCTGATCCTCAAAAGTTCCTCAGGCATAATGTCTTTTACATGTGTATCCATGTACTGTGAGTGTGTTTGAGTCATCTTACCTAATATAGGAGAGGAACGTCAGCAAGAACAGAAGACAGGCCAAGACGTCTGCCCTGCCCACAATACCAGACACCTGCAACACACAGGGATTTTAAAGATTACTAGTGTCAGCTGTGGTAAAGAAACACTGCTGGATTTCCATATGGAGCCCATTATGTTGCTACACTACAGTGAGATGCACAACTTGACCTGCTGCACATCACTGTCTATGTGAAATCTGCCTCAGAAATGCTGCGAACAGAATTACACTATTGTGGCTCAGACAGGTGCCCATTATCACCATTCAGGCTTTTCAGTAATAGCTGCCCATGCGTGTGTGCTGTTTGCAAAGTTGGACATGCAATGCCAAGAAAAGCTGGGAAAGTTTTCTTATTGGAGGAAATCACTTAAGTCCAGCTCTGCTCTGCTAGCCAGGTCGACACGGTTTAGTACAACAGAGAGGAGAGTGCATCGAGTCGATGCAGTTGTGCTGAGGAGAGGCTAAAACAACTGGGGAAAAAAGATCAAACTGAATGTTAGACACAGCTTGTTTGAAGACTCCAGAACAGCAGAGTGACAGAGGAAACTCAGAGAGCTGCGTGTCCATGATATTTTTGAAACGGTTATCATACCGTGAAAATCTCACATTGTTGCACCCATAGTAAGGCGGAACAATGAGCTGTACTCTCAAGCCATTTTACTAGATTTTAGGGAACACAGTCAACCCTGAACTTATTTAATACAATCTGAGCAAGTGTCAGTGATTGTGTAGTTCAGGCAGTAGACTATCAAGTTTTCATCATTTTTTGCTGCCTGGGGTGAAAGTACCAGCTGTCCAACACTGACTACAAGAATAATTATACAGTTTATGCCCAGTCAGCCCAATGCTGCTCAGCTCTGGCCACAGGCTCTGCCAGTCACCTTAGCAGAAGGAACATTTCATTACATATGGCTGAGTGTTGGCAAAAGTGGATAAAACTGTTAGAAAAAATGACCGGGTGGCAGTGACGATGGAGGGCAGTAGTACAGAGAGGAGAAAGGGATGAGGAGGATGGACTTTCAGGTGATACTTCATAAAAAACGTGATGTATGTTTATGTAGGTTTACTGTTTTTGTTCAGGGAAGGATGATCTGTTTATGTTTTCATTTCCAGAAAACCTTTCATGTTAAGGTACTAATTTTGTGATTTTTACAAACCGTAATTTAACAATACTTTGTTTTGCTGAGTGAAAATGTTATATTTTTTATTTTCTTATATTCCATGTAACAGAATGTTTAAAAGAAATACTGAATAACCTGAATAGCTAACTGTCATGCTATACCCAATTTAAATTCTAGCCTATTAGCCTACTTTTTTACATTTCAAATTTCAGCATTTTATAAAAAACACCTGTGTATAGTTTGCATATTTGCTTTGTAATTTATTTATATAAAACTGATTTGCAAAATTTGTGCAAAAACATCTCTTACTGGTCTTCGTCTTATACTGTATCTTTGCATTAACCAAGCTTGGGTAGTGCAAATAATCAAAGCTTTCTTATATCAGTTTTTTGTTAACAAGATGACATTTTTACGAGTTGCAGAACATGTAGTAATAGATGGTGTCTCGATAACAGATTCATATACTAGTATATTTGATACACACACACACACACACACACACACACACACACACACAATATGCCACAAGGATGGAGGGTGTGAGTGGAAAACAAAAAAACAAAAGAAACATATTAAATTACAACTGAATAAAATTAGGCCTGAGCTTTCATTTCCAAGTCATTCACTGACAAAAACTGTAATCAAATGCCTTTTTGTGTGTCTTATTCCCATCTCATCAAGGACATACCCAGGGAGAACAAGAACAAATTAGGGCTGCCCCCTAATAGTTGAGTCATTAGCCAAGAGACCTGTCTTTGGAATGACTCTTCTAGTCAAGCTTATGTTTTTATGTTATTATATTTCATTTTTTTATCAGCCAGTGTGCATTACAATAGAACCTGGCACACATCAAACACACAGTAACAACATGCGCTGTAGTTAACCGAAGGGAGAAGCTTAAACTTGTTGGTAAACTGCCTACAAGAGCATTATTTCAACAGGAATCCATGTGTCCTAAAGGAGCTTTAGTCTTGTTCTGCCTTCACCTTCAGACTCTGAAAATATCACCAGAGATCTTTTTTTTTATCTTCTTTTACTGCATTTTTATAGACTGACATTTCAGTCAGTAATTTTTAGGCTTTTCATCAGTTAAGCATTATGCTGGTTATGCCTAAAGGAAGGCTGGCTGATTACCACTAAATAGAAATAACACTCATTATGACATGGCCAGCCATCTTGAGCATAAGAAACCTGTTAAATATTACCCAAAGTACTTTAGGCTGAATATGCCTTTATAGGAAAAGATGATTAGATTGTCATTCAGCTGTGAAGAGCGCAGGGATTCCTACACACACTCCTCAGGGATACAGCACAGAGGACAGAAGGTCAAAGCTACTGGAAGACTGACACTTAATATACAATCACAGAGTGCTTAACAAGGTTAATGCAATTAAGTGCTGGATGAAGCAGGCTGCTAGGGAGATAACTAAACTGTAAAATAATAAATGCAGCCATTATGAAATGACAAGGGTAAATAAAACTAGGGCTAAAGTTGCACCCTTGTGTGGCGCTGTGAGACCTGCTTTCACTTTTTATCAAAAGAAAAAAGATACAAGTAATTATTTTTTCAAGCTCAGACTCGGTGGCCCACCCCCCCCCTCCCCCCCCCCCCCCCCCCCCTACAGATTTACATTACATACAGGGTGTTCGGGTCCACTGGACCCAGAGATAATAAAAGTGTGGTTGCAATCATTTGCTCTCACAGTTCACTGCCTCCACAGCTTAGCATTTGTATTGTGGTCACAGCAGTGTTGAATAGTTCAACCATTTACATCTGAATGCTCTGACATGCCAACCCCTGCACAGTGGGGACAGAAAATTCAGAGTCTGACAGTGATTTATAAGAATAGGATGAGATTGAGCATAAGCCCCTCTGCCCCTCATTTGTTTGGGATGAAGTACACATCTGTTGAGTAGTTTAGCATAAAACTGTTAGATTTTGTATGTACAAGGGATATCTGTAGCTGTAAATATCCCTTGTACATACAGATCTGCCAATGCATAAGCCAGTTCCAAAACAAAGGTTCTGAGAACTCCAGCCTATAATTATTATATATACATATATATACATATATATACACACACATATACATACACACACACACACACACACACACACACACACACACACAAATATGAAAGAAAGTTAAAGACCAAATAGTTGAATAGTCGCACTGAAGAGCCAAATGGCAGTCGAACATCAAAATCCTAAGCCGGGTACAGCCCTGTCCTTGATTTTTTTTATATCAAATTCAAATGGCTACATACAGGAATCAAGTGGCCAAATATGTTAGCTGTTACAAAGTCATGAGGTCATTGATACTGAGTGATAGGGATCGGGTAACAGCTCCAACTACTACTTTGTGACAGTCGCCCAATCAGCACGGTCAAATGATTGAATTAAGATTGTTGTCCCCTGCTGTTGGCTTATAAAACAAGGCACTCCAACAGAAGTCTGTTCATAACAAAGTCAATAAGTAATATAAAACACAGTCCAATCAGTGATGCCACACAGTATGGCATCTCTGATTACTGACAGAACACCTGCTGTGTTTACTGAGTAGGTTAATAAAAAGGCTTTTCTGAAGAACCAACACGTGTGACAAGATTTCTTTATTGAACTGAAACAGAACAGAATGTATAAAGCAGACATCCCAGTTACATGTTTACAAAAGCAAAATAATAATTGTTAAGATGATGTATTTGACATACAGTATGCTGTTGCTTAGAAGAGGCAAGTTAGAAACTGCTGTGGATGTTGCAGTTATGTACCATGTGCTCCAACCATTGAGCTACCAAGGAGCTCAAATTACATCATATCACAACAAAATTCTAATCTAGAAATATCACAAATAACTTGCTCCAGTGTTTTCAAAGACGTGAGTGTCAGCTAGTGGACCAAGTCCACTGTTTTCTCTTTCCTTTTCACCATTGGACTCAGACTGCATTGAAATTTCCTGCTGTCTTTCAATACTAAAATCTGAAAACCGATTACCTACCCAGCGAGTGAATATCTAAATAGTCAAATAATTGGATCTAGCCCTAATGCCCTTACAACTAGTAAGACAACAGTGTGTGTGTGTGTGTGTGTTTGTATTACTTCCATTATGGAGACCGAAACCTGTCAACACACTCAATGTGGGGCTTCAATCATCACTGAATTTTAGGGTGGCCATATGGTTTAAGTTTAGGTGTTAGGGTCAGGGTTAGGCAAGTAGTGGTTACGGTTAAGGTTAGGATAAGTCTAAAGGAAATGAATGTAAGTCAATGTAAAGTCCCCACAAGGAATGAAAACATAGCGTGGGTGGGGGGTGCATGTACACGCTGAAAGACTGCTTAGTCACACATAAATACTTTGAGAGGGATGGATGAGTATAAAAAGGAAGAGAACAGAACAAAGGGAGGGATGAAGCATGATCAAAGGAGAGGTAACAAGTTGCAGATGAGTCAGGGGTGACAGAGGACAGGATGGACTTATCTGACTCTGCATGAATAAAATATCAGCCTCTCCCTGCTTCAGTATACACACATACAGTATTCATATAGTAATGAAAAGTTGTAAGCAGCAGATTCCTCTCCTTGAAGCGGAGGAAGAGAAGCTGCTGTCAATGTTGCTCTGTGCATTTAGTTACTACACATACAGTACAGGTTTAAAAGGTAGTCTGGACTGATTAAACACTTTGTCTTTATATCTTTCACTCCTCCTTCACTGCATCCCCCTCTTCTTCCTTTGTCACCCTTCCCTCTCTTTTGTTTTCTCATCTACTGTGACCACTTCTGACCCCACGGTGCCTTTGTCATTCACTTCCACTACACTGACCATCAGTGGCTTGATGCTGTTAGCAAAGCATGGCAACATGAGCCGCTTCATTCTATGAACCACATTATATTAATATAAATATAGTATTTATACATGTACCTTATACAACAATA